TTGTCCCACTGCAGCAGCAGGAGGAACACATGCTGCAGTACCAGCCAACTTTTCTTCATGAATTAAATCATACTGTTCTTAATAAATTGTAAAATTAAAAAAAGACAAAGCAGCTTTCACTGAGAAACAATGTTTTTCTACTGCAGTTTGAACGAATCATGTTGATAGACTATCCTACTCAGAGAGCCTGATGCTCCAGGTTCAAACAACGAGTGGACACATCAGACAACCCTCTTCCATAATGAGCCCCCATGGGAGTTAACACAGAGCTGAGCACAACAGAGGAGCAGGATCCGTGCAAGTGCAAAGAAGTATTCTACTAAACATTTTAAAACATTTTGATTAACAGACGTTTTTCACAGCAGCATGAGGTAGGGAAACACATGTTATTTTAATCACAGTGATGAATGTGATGGAGAAAATGATATAAAATGAGAAATGAATTTGAATTTTGAAATGTGTGGAGGTAGCTCATCAGAGCACCTCCAGCTGAACCAGTGAGAGTTAATTGGCACAGCTGAGTCAAGTTGACCAATTACTGTGCCTGGATTAAATGGCAGCAGAGAAGAGAAACTCATGATGGAAGAAAAATATGTGAGATTGAGAGAGAGACATGTGGACAGAGCTGAGCTGCCAAGATGCAATTTATGTTTAGGGTTTGAATTTATGTTGCTTTTTAACAATAAAAAACATGTCAAAAAGGGAACAGTTTGTCTCTGGCTGCTGTTGGGAGACCCCAGTTGCAAATGTTTGTCAAACCTGGTTTCTGTCATTTAAGGTAAATCCTGTCACACTGATGTTCCACCCTTGTGATGGCTGTGAGTGTAATAATAAAACCGTACAGGCTTGGAGTGCATGAACTGACTTAAAGAAACCGCCCATACAGGAGTCTTAAATAAGGAAAGCTAACACACACAGAGTGAGGGCGGGACAGTTTCATTTCTCATAACCCTGACATTTTATTGGATGGAGAATTGTGACAGACATTTTGCTCAAAAAATCAAAACAAAAAAGAGAAAATCAGAGAGCAGACAATTCACATGCACAGAAATAGTGTGAGTAGAAGAGCTGAAGCTGAGAGCAGGAAATCTGTCTAAGCAACAAAATGTTTGAGTGCAAGCGAATAGTTTGGGCACTGAAAGAACACACTCTGGAATAAAGAGGAAAAAACACATACAGGTTTGTGATCCATATCTGTAAGATGTTGAGGACCTACTGCATATCAGGAATTATCCCTTTTACTTCATGCAACAGTCATCTCTCCCTCCAGTAAATTATTTCAGCCATCAAACACATTTTTTTTCTGTGTGACTGTGGTTATTAGTGTTTGACATCAGAGTCTGTTTAGGCTCAAACAACTGATGTGTCCTTTTAAGAAAAAGACAGCGACAGTGGCACTGTGTCAGTTATTGGTGTGTTTTCTCAGCTGCAGAAAATCTGTCAGCTAAAAGCCTTTGTCTCTAAAATGTCAAGGATTATCAAGGATGTCAAAACCAGTTTTTTTTTAAAATTGACCTTCATGCAGTTTTGAAATTATATTGTGTTTTACAGCATCGAGGATTGTCATTTCTGACTGCCTTAAGCCACAGCCTCATTTTTGGATCATTACTGTCCAGGCTGGATCAAATTAAGCACCAACTGATGGTATCAGCTGCATCTGCTCTCTGGCTCCATCTCTCTCTCAGGTTCTCCCTCAGATCTGTTGTGTCTAAAAATAGAGGAGAAGAAATGTTTTTGTCCCAGGAGACAGATCAGGAACAGATGATGGAGATGTGGATGAAAGGAGGAGATGGAAGGAGAAAGAAGAGGAGTTGATTATGAGAAAGAAGACAGGAACTAGTTTGGCTGCATGTGAAGGTGTGAGTGGCCTATATAACTTAGCTGTGTGGGTGGTAATGTGTGTGTTTGTGTAGTTCTTGCTGCGTGGGTTACTGTTGGTGAGTGTTCATGTGTTGCTGTGTGTGTGTCTGTGCTGATTTAAGCTGTGTTCTGTGCATGTGTAAGTTTAGCCATGTGTTATTTGTTTAGCATGTGTGTTGCTGTCGATGCAATTATCTGCTCTAATATGCTCATGTGTGGGTACAGTGTGTGTCAACCCGCATATTTGATGTTTTTTTTATTTGAGAACAGGACTTATTGATTTCACGTTCAGATTTTGTAAAGCTTTCACTCTGAACCCTGCACTCCAGATGCTTGTGGTATGATTTTCTCAGTTTATGCTTAATCTGTGTGCTTGCACTCAAATATTTTTTTGCTTGTACATGCAGCACAGTGCAATGGCAACACCCACGAGGGCAGGACAATTTCATTCATCAACACCACACCTATTGGTTGGAGAATTTTAACATTGTTGCATGAAACATTCAAGAGTGAATGTTTCATGCAAACAGATACAGTGTGAGCTCGAGGAGAAGCTGGAGCGCAGGGGATCTGTTGGGTGTGGACATGCATGTGTGACAATGCTGTGTGTTGTGAGTGAATCTAAATCAACACTTAAGTTTTCGCATCACTGGAGTTTTCAAGCCCCTGAAACAGACTTGGAATTGCTACTTGTCACATTTCTTTTGAAAACTCTGGGGTTGTCTGGAAGGGGATCGCCGTGGATTACCATAGTGTGATTGACAGCTAGTACTTTCCAATAGGAGCAAATGGCAGGTGAAGGTGGACATGCAGTGTCCTCAAGTTCTCAGTCAGGCTTCACCCCCCACTCCTCCAAATGTGGTTGCTTCTCAAAAACCCAAGATGGTGCAGGACAAAATATCAAACTGAGGCTTCATCAGCTTTGACTACTAGTAGTTAACGCAACATGGATACGTTGTTGACCTCATTTTCTTGGCAGCTGTTACTTCATTTTATAATCAGGCAACTGCCCACATGCACGAACAACTAGTGACAATTCCCACATGACTGTTGATGTAATAATTGTTTTCAGGCGTATTAGACTGGATTTACAACTTGTAATGTGGATGAAGCATAAATCTATCATCCATGCTAGACCATCTGCTCCAGGTGATAACATACAACCACTCTGAATCTCAGCGGCCCACTGAGGATTATTAGTTTAATATTACCATAGTCTGAGAACCTGTTAATACGTTTTCATATTTCCCCCTGCTGCAGCAGTGTCATCAACTGAATGTCACAGGAGTCCATTGAACCACAACCAGGTGGGTCTGAACTCATCTCCCAGCTGCTTCAAGGAAGAGAACCATTCTCTGGGGATTTGGAGTCTTCTTTTCAGACTGAGAGCTTTTACTAGCCTCATTTTCAGCAGTTGCAGGTGTTACTGTCGATCCAAGATGTACCTGCTCCAACTGTGAGCTGCATAACAGTCAAAAGTTGATGGGATCAATGAATGGAACCTTTACCTTTACCTTCCAAAACGTCCCCTCATAATTCACAACTCATTTTCAAACTGCATGTATTGGCCCTTCCCTGAGTTCATAAATGGATTTTGTTGCAGCGGTCCTGTGGCCCCTTTCCTAAAATATAATTGGTCAAATTATCCATCAGGAGAATTTGCCTCTACCTGGCTCCCCCAAAGTTGTTCTAGTCAAAGAACTGCTGAATGATGTACTAACAAATAATATGTCGTAATTAACAACACTTTATACATAGTGTCAGAAAGTGGTGCAGATACAGTATTTTTAAAGCAGCTTGTGCTCCAATTTTGTTTAAACCAATAACTGTGATATCCTTTAAAAAAGTTCAAGTTTCAGACTTCAGAAACGCCATTGTTGAATTTCTAAGGGTTTTTGGTCAAGGCAAAACAAAATCACTTCTCAGAGAAGCTGTTTTATTTTCAATGTGATGCAAAGTGTAAATCCATCTCTCTTCTATGCTTCACCAAACAACCTCGCTCTTGCTCACAAGATCAAAGCTGCACAGAGAAAACTATTGTTCTGTTGGCGAGTACAAGCCACAATAACAAAGAAACACTCATCACACATATGCATGGGTACACACACACACACACTCAAAAAGAAATGGTTCAACATAATGGATCTACACTCACTTACTTTTTGCTTCAACCTTCGCAATCTCTGGAAATATTAGAAGCTAAAGAGA